GCGCACGCGTGCTGGAAGGGGTGGGGGGTGGAGAGCGGAGGGTTGCTGTGCGCAGGCGCAGTGTGGCGGCCGGGCTTTGTGGCCCGACTATAATCTGGTGGGGGGGGGGTCTGTGTTGTATTCTAGACTCTGGTATCGGAGAGCGGTGTCGAGTAGGTTGATTTGGTGGATGGAGTGGTGGGTGTGCATGTCAGGAGGGCGTGAAATGGTCAACTGGTAATGTGGAGCACCTCCTTCCTTGGTTCTAGAGAAGTCCAAAAGGCAGAAAAGTAGCAAGAGTAGCTTTTATTTCTATAGTAGGGCAAGGTTTTCACTACAGTGAAAGAAAGAGGTCGAAAATCCTTAGCGTGTGATTGGGTCTGATGCACTTTTCGGGGAGGGAGTTTTTTCCTAATTTCCATTTATCTTGGAGAAGTCAGATATGCCTCCCCTTAGTTGTTGGGGTTTCCCCCTGGGAAGTAGAACTGACTTGTGTGTACCAATGTGTATGGAGTTTATGCCTCTGTATCAGAGGAGGAGGATTTGGCTGCTGTTGTATAGCTTTTTTTTTTTTTTTTTGTCGGACTTTGATACGTCCTCTAGGAGTTCAGATGTTAAGTGTCTAGTTAGCTGGGAAAATGGAGTCCTTATCTTGGCTAAATTTCTGAAGGAAAAAAGTGATCTTGTTGAAGAACTGGGCCTTTTCACTTAGTAAATCATAGGTTTGGTTGTGTTCGGCCCATTTAGAAAGGTGATTGGTGGGGAGTGGAGGTGAGAAGAATCAGCAGTTTCCCCGATCTTGCTTTACCAAGGTATGATTATTCAGTATACCTTGTCTCCCCTGGGGCTTTTAAAACATTCATGGTGGTTGTTGCATATCTGAAAGATGTGTTTGCTTGTTTACATACTTCACAGTTTTTCTGGATACGTATTATAAATGTGAAATGTTACTTTTTCGGATCCAGAGCTAGGTACTCTTGTGGTGGCCATGTGTCTCTGAATTCTCGGGTTTGTGTTCATTTTTTTGCTATATATATTTTAGGTCAAGTTCTCAGTTTCCCAGTTTGTCGCGGTTGTGTCTAATATCATAAGTATCCTGAACTGCCTGTTGGTAATTAGTTTGCTGGTTTATATTTGCATTTGATGGACTTTATCTGCCTTCAGACTTTCCAAGTAAGAAGCGGAAGAGGAGCCGCTGGAACCAAGATACAATGGAACAGAAGACGGTGATTCCGGGAATGCCTACAGTCATCCCCCCTGGACTTACTCGGGAACAAGAAAGAGCTTATATAGGTAAATACACGTTCTGCATCCAAATACGTTGTCAGATTGATATGATTTATTCTGAGCAACATTTCATGTGTCATAAGTTTGAGACCTTAAAGTCTTGTTCTTTTGAGATGAGGTATGGTCAGGTGTACTTTCATGACTTTGACATAACCCATCAGTTTTTACTCTGTAAGTCCTGCATTTGAAGCTCCTTGTTTTGGTCTGTTCGTAACAGCAGTGTTCTCCATGAGTGCCAGGAAGGTAGAGGGACCCACTTAGGAGTGAGGGTAGTCCCCAGTCCAGCACCCCACCCCACCCTTTTCAGCTGCTGTTCATTGCCAGTTGGTGAGGTGAGTGTCTTCTGCCTCTCTGGACACGGCCCCAGTGGAGAACACTGCAGGTATTATAAACTAAGTACCTTTTTCACAGCATGGCCTTTCACCATTTCATATTCCTCCCTCCCCTTCAAATGTCTTTTATTTTTATAGGTACTTTCTGAAAAGAAAAACTCAGTTTAATCAAAGAGTGGTCCTGAAAGTGTTGAACAGTGCACCCCTTTTTACCATTTTGTTGAATTTAACCTTTCCTTCAGCATCTTTTCTGGTTTGGTCTTTGGAGAGCTGTCTTAAAACGAGGGCTCTTTTACTATTTACTATCAAAGAACTCTGCTGGGAAAGGGGTACTACTTGGATATGGAATGAGGTGGTAGGATAAAAGATCTTATCTGTTGGGAAATTTCAAGAATTAACAATAATTGTCCACAGTGTAAATGAAGTTAACCTCAAAATTACCTTTTTTTAAATATAAGGTTTTTAATGCGAGTTTTACCTTTATTCATGTATCTGCAGCTGTCTCCAAAAAGTTCACTTGATGAACATTTCCTACTAACCAAATAAACATCCCCTTTGGAGTAAATTGGGGCAAAGGCCGTCTAGGCCTATGAGGCTGTATCCTTCACAGATCAAAAGCTTCAGGGCTGGCATGTGTTATTCTTGAGGATCATTATATCTTATGTTTTTTAACTGCTGAGAGTTTTGAGGTGTTGGAATTGTTACCTTGTTTTCACGGTACTAATATTTCTTCTTTCCCCACTGTTCCAATTTACTTCCACCCACCCGCTTGTCTCATTAGATTGGCCTGGGTCTTTACAACCTTGTGGAAATGTCCTTAGTGGAATGACATTCCAAGGACACAAGCAGACTTAGAAAGGGGGGGAAAACAGACTTATTCTCTACATCTCCAGTTCTCTTCCTGTGCAGGGAGTTAATGCACTGAGCCCTGAGGGTATTTATAGCTCTAATCAAAAGTGGATAGAGCCAAAGCAGAGGCCAGTGTAGATCTCAGCTCCAAGAAAGATCACAGACTTTTGATTTAAGTGCCAGTTTTCCTCAGGTCAGACCCCACACCCCTACAGTTCAGTTAGGAGGGCTGCCTGCCTCCATGAAGCTGACTTTCACCTTGAGTTCTTGAGCTAAATACTTGACTGTCAAGTCAGAAATTTTCTGGCGTAGAAGAGCTTAGGGATCTATGTATCTTAATTCATCTTCTGTCTCTCAGGGTACACACTGCTTTGTACAATGCCCCCAATATCTTCTCTTGATATGAATGTGGGTTTTCAGTTCTTTGGAGTTGGAATGGGTATGTGGTATAGCCCTGTGGGGTGTATTTAAAAGTAGGAGGGTATCTTGGGTTAGACATGCATTAATCCTGTTTTGGAGCCAGCTCGACTTTAACCCAACCCACTAAGACTTGCCCTTATTAGAGATGCCTGCTCACAACTTTCAGATGCTGCAAAGGTAAGAAACAGGTGGTTCTTCAGCACGCTGAAGACTGTGATCTGGCTCTACAGTTGCCATTATCTTGAGAAGTCACCCGGGTAACATTTCCCTGGAGTCATTGAACTTCTGTGAAACCTTCCTCTCTTTTTTATGTACAGCCTCATTTTGTCAAGGTCTGAGGGCCACACATTCTCCTTGACCCACACTTTCTATTTTCTACATCCCCTACTTTTACTCCCCTCCTGAGGAGCAAGTCTGAGAACAGACTTCTTAACGTCTCACGGTTACTGGTTTATTAAGGTATATGGATTGTTACCTAAGACTCGAATAAAAGCAACAGGTATTGGGAGATCCTTATTAGTACGGATCTGGTTGTACAGAAAGAGTATGTACAATAGGCTTTTTATGAGGTGTTGAATTGGTTATTAAATGTCTAACATGTTCAAGGAATTTTGAACCTGGTATCAGTGAAAATGATCTTTGCTCAACTGGTATTTTTCCTTGTCCCATGTTAATTGGATTTCATTTTGGGCTATGCTTAATATTTAATGAAGAAAAATAAACTCTCAAGAGTCTTGCCCTCGAAGTAATTTGTTTGGGAACAGGGTATTGGTGATAACATAACATGGTTTGTTCTGGGTGCCAATTGTATAGCAAGCCTTGGAGGGGAGGGAGAGGTGAAACACCTAATAATTGCTTTGATGTTAGCCTTAGTGAACAGTGTATACTGCTAACCCCTCTTCCAACAAACTGTTTGCTTCCTTAAGTGTTAACCATTTTGAAGTGAAAAATATCTATAGATGTAAATGGACTCCTGCCGATAGGTGGTTGGGGGTTTTTGCCTCAATGTGTTCACTGATCAGTCGTCCCTTTCAAAGTCTCCGAGTTCTTCATGCTTGTTGTTGAGATTTGAGATGTTTTTTGGTAACATTGTCTTTTTTCCATCCTTTTTTTTTCTTTCCTAACCTGGTTTCTTCCAGTGCAACTGCAGATAGAAGACCTGACTCGTAAACTGCGCACAGGAGACCTGGGCATCCCCCCTAACCCTGAGGACAGGTTGGGAAACAGTTTTAACCAGCTGACAGTAACGCTTTTACCTTTTTCTCAATACGTTTTACTGGTGGCAACATATTGTGTCAGTTCAATGAAATCCTAGTAAGACGACTGTGATAATACTTTAACCATTCTGGGGCCTAGAGTTTAATTAGCAATCTATATGGTCAGTCGTCAGTTAGAAAATTGGAATGAAATTTAATTACTAGCAGAATAAAAAGTTACAGGAAAATGGACATCTGGTTTCCAATTGGTAAGCACCTAGATTTTAACCTGATTTACCCACCCGTAGGGATAGTGAGGTGGCCCGTTAACCAGCCTTTTCAGTAACTGCTTTGGTTGAAAGCCGAGGGTGTAGAGCTTTTCTCACAGGTACATGGTGCAGGGATTAAGAATATTTTTGAGCATCACTGAATTTGAGCAGACCAGAAGCTCAGTCTGGTTAGCTCATTGCTGCAGTCTTCCTGCTCATGGTTTTGAGATGGTTTTAAAATAGATGAGATTTCTAACCAGCTTCCTTCACTGTCAGTGAATTTTCCGCCTTGGCCATTGCCTGGGGGTATTGGGAGGGTCCAGAATATTCTCGCCTGTTTTGGGAAGGCTAGCAACCAACCCTGAATCACCTTTATTTTTTAAGAGTGTGGTCTTCAAATATCTGTAGTCACGTTCTTCCAGTTTACAATTTCTCTCACCTTTGAAAAGTAAAAAGTCTGAGGGAAATTAACTTTTTAACCAGGAATTTTATTGGCTGGTTGAACTTCGAACAGCTAAATTTGGTCCATTTAATAGAAGGGCAATATGCCTCCCTCTCTGTGAAATTGCTCTTAGTGCATGCGGCATAGTTGAAAACACTTCACTTCAAAAAGTAGTGTTTTTAGCTTTTATTACCCGATTAATGGCTTGTTAAATCAGGAAGATGATGTGATTTTAGAAGCCACTCACTTATGCATCTTTCTGCTGCCCTTTGCCAGGGAACAAATTAACTTAATCTCACCATTTGGGCTCTTTAATTTTACTTAATGAAATTTATTATTTTTTTACCTGTAGATTTTGGTTGGAGGGTTGTGTTGTGTTTTATATATATATATATATATATTTTTTTTTTTTTTTTTTAAAGATTTGCATTGTAGGTTGTAGACCACAACTGTTGAGTGCTTTTTTGGCCTTTTTCCCTTTAATAATACGTCTAACAGGTTACCAGGCAATTCCTCAAAAGGTTGAATTTTTAACAAACCTTTGCTTCCTGGAGAAATGGGATTAGAGTTTAGTTGATCTATATGATGCCTCTTTGAAGTGAAGAAATTGGGCCAATATAACCTCTAGAATATTAGCTTTTGCCTTTTCACATCCACAATTTGGGAAGAGATTAAACTGTTGTGAGGCTTTTAAATGACCAATTTGGTACTGGTAAACCTTGTTCTGTTGATTAGCCAGAAATGCCTAATTCTAGACAGCTACGGGGTGGGAATTAGAAACATCAAGCACATTAGAAATAAAACCAGAGCAGTTTTTTTCTCCCTTGTATTCAGTTTGAAAGAGGGCCTAATGCCTGACTGGTTCTGCTTTTGAGCCCAGGTTGGAGGGAACTGCATGAGTTTCTTACCTTACTGAGGTTATTTCCTAAGAAGGTGTATTCTCAATATTAAGCCACTATGCTATTTTGATGTTGCTTAAGTTGCACAGTTAAAAATGTTTTAAAAATCTCTTGTAGACTTAAATGTATAAGATGATAGTCTAATGAGCTGGGGTATATTTGCTTTTGTTCATTATTATTGGATTGTGTTAACAGTTTATATAAATGTTAGAAACGGAGGTGTCATTTAGCCGTCATTAGCCATGAACAAACCTGACCTTTTATTCCATCGTGTGTGTAACGTGGTATGACATGGTTCCCTTTAGGCTGAAGACAGTGGGAGCAGCCGAGTTCAGTCCTTGCTCTCCAACTAGGCAAGGTTCTCTCAACTAAACCAAGGGTATAGGAGTCTTGACTACTTTCAGGATGTTTTTTTAATAACCTGATCCACATGGTCTCTTCCCTTCTTGCAGCTGCTACTAAATTTTCATTCAGAATATCAAGCTATGGTCCTTTTTGTAATCTCAACTCAGAATTCTAGGAGTGTAACTTCTCTTTTTTATTACCGCAAAATCCAGCTGTGGTAAACTGACCATTTTATCATTACTATTTTTTACTTGTAGCAACAGCATTTTACTCCTTAAAAAAATGAGAGAGAGAAAATCTGCTTTCTGGACTTGTAAACTCTGGTGGAGAATCCTAGGTTTTCCCCTTGCCGTTTGCAGGTCCAGACCCTAGACAAGTACTTGACCAAATCTGCATTTGCAGCCTCTAGCAGAAGCTGCTTTAGCACGTTAACGTTTTTCTCTACCCAGACTCCCCAACCTCGAACAGCCAGAAAACAGGTTGACTCCTGGGCCTTGGACACAGCCAGCCAGGCCATTGAAGGAAAAGCAGAGACGAAGCCTTGAACCATCTCTCTCCATTGTGGGGCCAAGTAGCTGCAGCAGCCTTGAGTCCCAGTTGCACTGGGTTAAAGAGCTCATACTTCCTATGTGGCAGGGGTGCAGACACTCTTCCTGATAGGGCACGAGCTCTGCAAGAGTTCACATTTTACCTAAACTTTTGGGTTTCCGTGGTTCATAAAGTTGTAATAATGTACAATTTTTAAAAATGAAAAATCCATATTTGGCAAGAAGACTCCAGAGGATGATACTGTCCTTGCCATTTACAGTCCAAAGATTTTCCCCCAGAAGGACAGACTTTTTTCTTCTCAACATTTAGAAGCAAGACCTTTTTTTCCTTTCTCACACACACCCCAGTCCCCCTAATGCTAAGCCAGCTTTCATCTCCCCATTCCACACGATCTTGAGTAGCACACGTTACGGTCGGTTCCTCCGAAGAGTGTTGTGTTAGGGTCTGAGAGGCAGAGGGGCTGGGGAAGACTAATTTTAGCCCATGTGGGATGAGAAGAGTGAAGGCAGAGCAGTAACAGTGATCTGTTTCCCACAGGTCCCCTTCCCCTGAGCCCATCTACAATAGCGAGGGGAAGCGGCTTAACACCCGCGAGTTCCGCACCCGCAAAAAGCTTGAAGAGGAGCGGCATAACCTCATCACGGAGATGGTTGCCCTCAACCCTGATTTCAAGCCACCTGCAGATTACAAGTAAGCAGAGGGGCTAGGTTGTCCAGGCCAAGGACATGTACAGATCACGTGTGATCTGGTGGAACTATTTTGGTACTAACGTCACACCACTTGTCCTCAAATCATGTATAGTTAATACATGGTAGCAAGGTTAGTTCTAAAAGCTGTGGGTTGTGTTTTCTCTCAGAAACATGCAGAGTCTATGAGTCTTTTCTTTTTTAGACCTCCAGCAACACGGGTGAGCGATAAAGTAATGATTCCACAAGACGAGTATCCAGAAATCAACTTTGTGGGGCTGCTGATTGGGCCCAGGTGAGTAACTGCTACCCTGTGGGATACATGATTGTTAAGAAACTGTGAGCTGTATCGGTCTTAGGCCCAGCTGGGTGCCATTGATGGCTTCCCTTCCTGTTTTTGGTGGAGTTCACACTTTGCTGTGAGAAAATCTCTTCAACCCCGTTTTACTGCAGAGAACTCAAATCTTACAGATTTGGTGTGGCTGCCTTTAACTTAAAAGAGATCATGGAGCTCTTGGTGGGAAAATCCAACTCTGCACTCAGGGTTTCCTGCCGGTGTGATCCGCCCACTCTGTCCCTTCTGGCATGGGAACTTGCCTGTCAAATCTAACAATTCAACTTTTTCTGCCCCTGATAGAGGGAACACCTTGAAGAACATAGAGAAGGAGTGTAATGCCAAGATTATGATCCGGGGGAAAGGGTCTGTTAAAGAAGGGAAAGTTGGCCGCAAAGATGGCCAGATGCTCCCTGGAGAAGATGAGCCACTTCATGCCCTAGTTACCGCCAACACCATGGAGAATGTGAAGAAAGCTGTGGAACAGGTGAGGCAGCCAGAAAGGAAGCCTCTTGCTAGAAATCTAGTGGTGGCCCCAGCGCTTTATGTAATTGTGCCCCTTGCATCTCCACTAGATAAGAAACATCCTGAAGCAGGGTATTGAGACCCCTGAGGACCAGAATGATCTACGGAAGATGCAGCTTCGGGAGTTGGCTCGCTTGAATGGGACCCTTCGGGAAGATGATAACAGGTGTGTGATCGGTTTAGAGTGGAGAGAGTGTACAAACCTGAAGAACCTGTGGAAGTAGGAAGCTTGGCCGTAGCCCTTGACATGACTCTTTTTTTTTCCCCCTTCTTCCTCAACAGGATCTTAAGACCCTGGCAGAGCTCAGAGACACGCAGCATTACCAATACCACAGTGTGTACCAAGTGTGGTGGGGCTGGACACATCGCTTCCGATTGCAAATTCCAAAGGTGAGGGCCTGGGATTATGGCTTCTTTGTAGCCGTGGCGTTCAAGACATTTCTTGAGCATGTTGGTTGGTTGCTGTTAACCTTTGGGCTCTAGAGAAGCTTCCTTTCTGTGAATGTGGTCTGTAATGGTGTGATGTTAAAGCCCAGGATGATGAGAAGCAGCTTGTGCGAACACCTGTGTTTTGTGGCTCATCTTGAATTCAGGAAAACTAGAAATTTCCATCCTGAGTGTAAATGTTTCCACTGTGGCTCAGTATTAATTACCTTTTGCTGCTTAGGATCGGTTTCAGAAGCCATCTGGATTTTTGGCCAGTTTTGAACCAGCACTTGATAGCAACATTTTTCTACTTTGTTCTCCTTTGGAAAACCTGGCAGGTGCTCTAGTCCTGCATAGACCTTCCTTCCCTCAAACTGGGAATGTAGGATTTGATGAAGGTTTGCTCTTCGGAAGAGCCTGTGCTTTCCTAGCTCGTGTGGCTGGCTGGGTGCTCTCGATCTTTTCTGTTGCGGCAGAAATCCGCGTGGTCTCCCAGATGCAGAGCTGGGCGCAGAACTGAGGACTTGATGAGACTATTTTGAGGAACGGTTAGAAAGGATGATTGAATTCTTCAAAGAACTCTATGTCAGTTCTTCTACAGGATAGAACTTTCCTTGTTAATGAGTTTTTTTCCTCTTCTTTTTTACTTTCCTGTGTTTCTTATCCTGCCTTCAGGCCTGGTGACCCCCAGTCAGCTCAGGATAAAGCACGGATGGATAAGGAATATTTGTCTCTCATGGCTGAACTGGGCGAAGCGCCAGTGCCGGCATCTGTGGGCTCCACCTCGGGGCCCGCCACCACGCCCCTGGCCAGTGCACCTCGGCCTGCTGCTCCTGCCAACAACCCACCTCCACCGGTGAGTTTCAGGGGCTGCTGCTTGTGGTCTGGCCGCCCCCATTCTCTTCCTCAGAGACTGAGGGCTGTGGCCAGGTGCTTTGGGTAGAGCGCAGTGACAGACATGGCTGGCAACATTGTTCTTCCGGGTGTCAGGATGTTCGGGGATCTTTCACTTTAGGAAGATCCTGTCCTTGTGTGTTTTCTGGTCCTCTTGGCATAGCCGAAAGAACAGTGTTGCCACCAGGGGGAGCAGGCAGGGACGTTGGCGGGAAATGCTCTCACGTAGTCTCTCATGTCCACCACCCAGAGCCGCCCACCCTGGATGAATTCTGGCCCTTCAGAGAGTCGGCCCTACCATGGCATGCACGGAGGTGGTCCTGGTGGGCCTGGAGGCGGCCCCCACAGCTTCCCACACCCATTACCCAGCCTGACAGGTGGGCATGGTGGACATCCCATGCAGCACAACCCTAACGGACCCCCACCCCCTTGGATGCAGCCGCCACCACCACCGATGAACCAGGGCCCCCACCCACCTGGGCATCATGGCCCTCCTCCAATGGGTAAGTAAGTGTCAGACCAGAAACCTTGGGGCTTTGGGGTAAGCAAGGGTGACGTCAGGTTGCTGCGAACCGGAAGCAGCTCTCAAAGTGGCTGGGTATTGCATCGGGTCTCCTGCCAAGGCTGGGGCTCCAGAAGGAGCAAGACTTTATCCTGGCTTAGGAAGCGGTTTGTGTGTGGGGTAGACACAGACTTACGTCTTCAAGGCAAGGTTCCAGAACGGTTCTTAAAAGGGTAGTGGTTGCAACCTGTGTGAATCAAATAAGCTGTTGGTGGGGGCATCTTCCCTGGCCAGTTCAAATGTCCTGCTAAGTCCCTGCTCTTTCCTTCCATCAAGATCAGTACCTGGGAAGTACGCCTGTGGGCTCTGGGGTCTATCGCCTGCATCAAGGAAAAGGTAATGCGGCCTGTCATCTGCTCACTCTGGGGTATGCCCTGGGCCTGGGAGTGGGGTCTCCGTCCCGAGTCCCTCTCCTCCCCCGAGGCCTCACCCTCGCCTCCGCCTCCCTGCAGGTATGATGCCGCCGCCGCCTATGGGCATGATGCCGCCGCCGCCGCCGCCGCCCAGTGGGCAGCCCCCGCCCCCTCCCTCTGGCCCTCTTCCCCCATGGCAGCAGCAGCAGCAGCAGCCTCCGCCACCCCCTCCGCCCAGCAGCAGTATGGCTTCCAGTACCCCCTTGCCATGGCAGCAAAGTGAGTGGACTATTTTGGGCTTGTGGGGGTGGGTGGGATGGGGAGGTGGGGCTGAGAGCAGGAGAAGCTCACGGCTCACAGAGGCAGGCAGACACCCAGGCAGGAGACGCTGCTCTCTGCTGGGGGTGCAGGCAGAAAGGGCCTCATGGCCCCTGGGGGTCTTGGGGAAGAGAGCTGATGTTTGGCGTGGTTGTGTCTGGGGAGCGGTTTTGGGGGACCTGGAGGGAACCTGCCATCGTAGGTAGGGTGCCAGAAATCCAGGCTCTCACTGGCTGGGCTGTGTGAGCTGCCGGCTGCTGGCTGGCCCGAGCCTGTGTGTAAGGCCCGGGTGGGGAGGGTGCTTGCATGCTGCGCAAGGGACGTGACTGGGGCCTGAGAGACGGCAGGGATGGGACCGGGCTGTGGGGAGAGTAGCTGTGGCCTTGAGGTTGAATGTGCCGTTCGGTGGTGGCGGCGGATGGGCGGAGGGATGTCAGAGCCGGTTCTTATGTCTGGTACCTCCTCCTCAGCCCTTCCAGGGGCACTGGTGACAAAGGGCTTGCTCTGCTAAGCCCAGAGACCTCGAGGCTGACCCCAGGGTAGTCCTGCCCACCCCTCCACTCCCCATCACCAGGAC